TAAATTTAACCGAATTATTCGAAATAAGGATCATCAAATTTTATACTACATTTTATAAATTGAAATCACTCTTTCTAAAAGTTCTCTATAACAGGAATAAACAACTTGTGATCTTAATCAAACTATACGAAATATACCCAAGAGTATTTATTTTACTGTCACCTGATACCATGCTTTAGGACACATTATAAAAAGTTTTTATTAAAGCTTTTTGCTGTATCTTCAGTTTGTCACTGATAAGTTATATAATAATCGTAAGTGAATTGAAAAGAATCTGTATTTTGAATGTGTGTAAAATATTTAATTCCTGACCGCTTTCCTCTTAAAAAGGCATCTTCAAAACCATGGTTAAAATTTAAGTACCACTACGAAAGAAGGATTTAATTGGTCAAAAATACAAAATTTTTTCTACAAAAGTTAAAAGATTCGAAAGTTTTTAAAAAACATCAAAAACACGTAAAAAGACAAAAAATACATTAAAAGTTTTGTGTGATGTATGGGTGCTAAAATCCAAACGTATGGATAGAGTTGAGATAACAGACAACATCTGTCTCCCTGTAAGTGTCCATACGAGTACTTGTTTTGAGAATCTGTTGTTTTCCATTCGCAGCCTTTTTTCTTCTTCATCTCATTTCTTATCTTCTCTCTTTTCGAAATCCTTAGCGTTCGCCTTATTACATCCATTTTCGTAGCTTTTTGCTTCAGTTTCTCTCTGTTGATCGCCACGTTTGAGATCCATATAATAGCATATTAATTACCAGAGTTTCATAGTTATTAAACTGTCTCTTCTTAGTTATATTTTGTTCCAGATAATTCCATTAAGGCATTCGGGATTTTTTCGGGAGGTAAAAATAGCACAGTTCTTATTATTATATGGAGCTAAAGCAATTTAAAAAAATTGATCCATAGAAACCGAGATACTGCAAATTTTTTCAGTGCGCTTCATTTTGAAGTTCCATTCTAAAAAAAACGTAATTCGAACAGATAGTATTTTATGAGTACCATCACTATAACGGGTTGTTATTATTAATATTCTTATTATAACTTATTCTTACAGCATACAGTAATACCCTTTTCTGATTCCTCCAGGGCTCTAAAGATGTTTTCAGAGAATATATGTTAAAGACTCGAATAGTTCATGCTGTTCCTTTTTTTTTTGGAAGTATAAGTTTGAGATTCGTCTTAATATCTACCATCGATTCCTAATGTTTATGAGATATCGATTAGTTTTCCATGTGCTACTTTATTAAATGTCTTCTTAAAATCGATGAAAAACGCAAACACTTCGCAGTTGATATCCCTACGAGTCTGTATTAGAACTTGTAAACTGAAAATTGCTTCCTCGTTCCGAGTCCTGCTCTGAACCCAAATTAAACTTTATAGAAAGACCTCAACAGAGCTATTCCATATAGCAACCAACAAAGTCATTATAGCCAGAATGATCGCCAACGTTCGGAACGGACAGGCACCCTAAGAAGAAGAATTCGCTTTAGAACTTTAAATACAGGACTAATCAAACTAATCAAAGTGGGATGAATATTGATAGTAGCCAGTCTTTTGGTCAGTGACCAGTCTCATATATAATGTTGCATAGCCTGGTAAGAGCTGTGATTTGGTGCGCCTCTAATAGCTTTAAAATTTCACCATGCACTTTATCAGGTCCTGGTGATTCCCATAATTATTCTGCTTAATAGTCATTTTAACTTCTTCTAAAAGTAAATCTTAATATAGTCATATTTTATTAAAATTTCTGAATATAAATATCTTGATTTTATGTTTTTTTCGTAGATGTTATTTGTGTGTAGGAGCAGGTAGTAGAATTGATGATACATACAGTTTATCAGTTTATCTTAGGGAGAAGCGTGGTACCCTTATAAATCAAGGTGGCTCTTTTCGTGTAGCTTGAAAATTTGCCACCGAACTAGAATGGAGGGCGCCTAGCACAAGTGTTAAAGGTATGCTTTTCTAATGTCTAAGATATAAAGAACATTATTACTAGCAGTTGTGCACAATATTGTACCCCATTTTAAGGGGGTTTATTTTTAAATGACAGGATATTGCTATCTTCTTAATATAAGCAGACAACGTCAGGTGATTGTCGAATCTCAATCCCAGAAAGTCAGGTGAATCTACTTGTTTTATACTCGAAATACCAGTTAGAGTCAGAGTGTGTTTGCTATTGGTTTAATTTTTAATAAAGATCACAAAACAGGTCTTTTCGCTAGATAAAATAAAAAACTACTTTTCTGAAACCATTTTTTCAGTTTATTAAAAAATGACTATATGATTTTGTGGCAAGAGGGATAAGATCTTCTGAGTTCCGTCTTGTAAATATTCAGTATTTAAATTGATACCGTTTACGCATTTTTAAAATTTCCTATTATTCATGATATTTTTAATAAAGCCTAGAAAGTTTCTTTGTTCGCCGTATCTATTCATTATTTTTAGGATTCGGTATCTCCATGCAGTGTCAAAGTTTTATTTATATTGAAAATATGGAAACCACGTGTAGATCATTTCCAAAGGAAGCACATATAACATTTTAACTTGCAAATATTGTTTTTAAGAGAAATTCTGGGCTTGTAACGTCACTTTTTTGTGAAAAAATATCATAGGTGCATTGCTCCAGTTCAAGGTGTATGTTCATCCAGGTATAGATTAAATGTTAATATATTTTTGTTTTCTTATTACTTAACAAATTCTTGCAATATTTTCTTTTAATGTAAAACATCATACTTTGTTCGTTTTTGAATTACAGATCTCGGTAATTTTGTTCCCCTTTTGCTATCTAGTTTTTAAATTTATTTGCTAGTAATAACACAAATACTACAACATTTCTGCTTCGAGTAGAGTATATTCGATGAGAGTTTTGTACGTTATTTGTATAATATAATTAAAGCGGTTAAATTTAGTATACATACAACAATAACTATACAAAATAAATAAGTGCCAGTGGAGATATATTCAACTTCCAATGAGTTTACTTATCCATAACATACATCATCACGCTAATGGTTGCAACAATCAATCGTGAACGGTAAATACGAAAATACTCACAGATTACACTTGTATGAGTAAATATACAATAATGGCAAATCAGCGATATTTCTCTAGTCGCTAAGAATACCTGTGTTTAATAGTTTATATGGAATACTGCACCGTTTTATTTTTTTTTCATTTCGTAATTCTCTATGAGTATTTCCATTTTTATCTGTTGTCTGTTCATTGTTGTAATTCTAATTACTCCAGTTTATCAGTGAAAAATTTATAGATTTCACGTAAAATTCAGGTTTTTGAATGTTCTAAAAGGTGTATGAGGGATAGCTGATGAGAAAACCTTGAAGATGTACAATCTGATTTTGCTCTGTTTTTTTAACAATCATCAAAAGTGAAAAAAATTATTTTTTGTCCAAGTATAAAATGTTTCTTATATATTTTAGAGAAAATGGTTCAAATAAAAGTAGATCTTAAAAATTTCTTTGATTTGCAAGTTTCTTAATTAAAACAATTAATGAAGAAACAATTCACCGAGATAATTGCAAAAAACAATATTTATGCAGTAATTTATACATGCTAATAACTTTGTTTTTTTGAATATAACTACTTGAAATTATGACAATTAACGACTTTACACAAATATACTTACTCAAACAGTGTACGTGTAAGTACTCTAGAGGTATTTAAGCAGATCGCAATCGATCCTTTGAGGTTTCAATGAAGATATTATTAAAAGAATTCAACATTTTATCAAAATTTTTACTAAAGAACCATGTAAAAAGGTTGACTTTTTAGCTTATAAACATTTATAAAACCTTAAATTAAATATTTTTATATCACGTGCTTGTAGGCTCGCTGAAAAGATAGTGAAAAGAAATCTTTAACAAAAAGAGTCTTCTATGAGCAATAGTAACCAAGATGGAAGTTTTTAATAAATATTTATAATCTAAAAACTCTAAAAACGCTTTTTCAAACGGTTTTTTTAATAACAATTTTAAGAAATGGTTAAAATTTTGTTAATATATTTTAAAACTAAAGCCTTAGAAACCCATTGCGATCTGCTAAATATCTCTAGATTCATTGTTTGGGCGAATACAGTTGTTAAAATAATTGCTCTTCGAGATAAACAAATTGAATAACTTGCAAACTATTTCGTCGATCTAGCTGATATTTAGCACACTTCAATAACTCAATAATTACCATAAGTTCAAGCAGTTATATTCATATCATTATGCAAAAAACAAAAGTCGTTAACATTTATAAATTACTGCAAAATAAGGATTTTTTTGCAATTATCTCGACAATTGTGTATGTATTTTAATTTATAAACACGAAATTTAAAAGAACTACAAGTTTTATTTGAACAATTTTTCTCTAAAATGTATAAGAAAGGTTTTATAGACAAGACATGATTTTTTCACTTTTTATGATTGTAAAAAAAAAACAAAGCAAAATCAATTGTACGTCTTCAAGGATTTGGCAACAGCTGCCCCTCATATACCTTTTGGAACCTTCACAAACCTGTACAAGATTTTTTAACTTTTTTTTTCCTTTACTGCTCTGAATAGGGTGATTGTGATCGGTTTAAGTCAATATCTTATAAACTGTAAATATCCGAGGTGTTGAAATATGTCCTGTAGAAATATAAGTAAATACAGTGGAATTTTTTCAAAAATATAATTTTAATCAGGTTAGGAATCAAGTCTCCATAGTTCAGTAATAGTAATAGCTAACTGAAAAAGCTATGTTTTTATGTCAGCAAAATAAAACTGAGTATTGCTTATAAAATGTAGTATATTTCTGAGATTTTTTTTTTATTTCTGAGATTTATTAATGAGAATATTTTTGATTTGATTTTATCTTAATAAATTAAACGTAATTAAATATGGGTTTAATAAATATAAATTTTGTAACAGTGGTGATAGAAGTAGTTCCGAACTGTATAGGTAATTGAGGTTGGTGTGTAATGGGTATGTGTTTCTAACAAAAAAGGTAAGCAATACCTGATTGCCATCATAGGTCCAGCTACCAAACTTCATGTCACAATGTTGATCGTCAAATGGGAACCACGTAATGTCTATCTTGCATGTGCTCTTGAAGATACCGGGTGGGACATACAAGCAGCTGCCGTTATGTTTGACCACAACATTAGTTTGGTAAGTCCCGTCGAAACCCTCATCAGCACTTCATAAACACAAATCGTTAAAATTTTCTGGTCTTCGTCTTGGTCAAATTATTTTGTTCCTTTTGCGCGTTTGGTACCGCGCGTATTAAAATTTTTACATGCAACAATCAACATTGATGGCTTCGATGGTACGGTCAGTTACGTATGTCAGCCTATATCAACTCACCAAGTAACTCCTTTCATAATGTTTCATTGCATTTCTAAATGTTAAGTTGCTTTGCAGGTGCATTCATCTCTATTCAGATATTTAGAACAAAGCCACATTTTTGGAAATGAAATGAATAACTAATTTCGTTATAAATGAAGTGATTATTGTGCCCAGGTAGTCTCATTATGTTTTCAGCAAGGAGGAGAAAACATTACTTTATAATTCTCAACAAAATAGATTACAAAAGCTGTTACTAACAAATTATTTGGTATTTTCGTATTTAAACGACTAGAACAATATCAAAAAAATTGCGCCTTGGAAGAAAGTATGGACATAACAAGCAAGCATAGAAAGCATATCTAAACGACGAGTTAATTATTGACTGATTGAAGAAACATGAGGTATAGAGACGAAGAATAAAAAATATTGTAAAAAAGGATTAACAAAGATATATACCTTTTAAGTAAAAAAATAGTTTTAAATAGTATTTTGTCATCTTAAACACCATCTTATCTTATGACGAGTGTAGAGTGAGGTATGTAAAGAACCTATGAAACAAATATGTCAGGTGGATAAGCTCTTAAAAGACAGATTGATGGCAAGTTATGTTGATACCTTTGACATAAAATAACAGAAATTATTGGACTATAAGGATCGTTGTATTATTCGTATAGCGCAAAAGCTGTTTTATGAGCGATAATTTCAAATATAACTTGCAAGTATTTTAAACTAAAATTTTTCTTTAAGGAAAATAATAGTAAATGTCACTTCTTCTAATCAATAATCTTAAATAAGTAAATTTGTTTACAAGTCCTTAGTTTTTTTATTTTGTTCCTTTGTGACATAGTGTTGAAAAAAGACTTCAAAGTAATCTTTCAAATAATTAAAACACGTCGACACACTTTTTCCTATTCTGTTGAGAACCACAAACATTTCCCCCGCCCTAGTGAATTGAGCTGTATAACTTTTCCATTCGCGATTAAAAATCACAACAAAGCGATATTGATAAAGTTTTTTGTAGATGTAATGAAAACAAAATCTGTCTTTCTGGCTGTTTGAAGCGCCATTATTCTTCATGACGGCGGTCAGATACAGAAACGTAGTAAGAACCTTCATTCTAGCTGTAATTTTTAAACTCAAACGATGAAAAATGAATTTAAATTGGCATTGACGGTTTCGTGAATGGAAAATTTATCACTGTCGAAATGATTTCGATACCATTTGTAGACCAGGCAAACTAACAAAAGCAACGTCAAACGTTTTTCACACATAACCTTTTAATAAAATAGTATGTGAATAATTAATGTAAATGTCAGTTTTAATTTTAAGTAATATCTCCAAAATTGTTTTTTAGAAAACTAGGATAACAGAAGAGTATTTCTACAAAATATTTGTACCTCAAAAGGGTTCTAAACATTAATGTGATCTAATGTGGCATTTATGATATTTATTTAAAATCCTACCTCTGTCCGAGTCTCTCTTGGATATGGTACTACCTGATTTGTCTTAATAAAGTTAAAATATGTCATAGTATGGTCAAAGAACAGAGTTTTGTAGTGAAGAAACAGGCATTCATGTTTTCTGGGATATAAAACAAGTTAGAGAATTGGGTTTCTAGAAAATGAAAAATAATTTTAAACTCACAATTAGTTAGCTAGTAAGATTCAGTTTTAACTTAATTTAGTTTATATTCAAAGTTCTTGGAAATATCTTTCATCGAATAAGACGGAATATACAATACATAGTTCAGAGCTCGAGAGTGACTCTGACGTAGATTTGCGTACTAAATATGTAGATATTTAGTACGCAATATTTAATATTCATTTAAATATTACCATCTCTTACACTGAAGTATAAATGAAGTATGAAAATATTGCAAATACTCTCTTATTCAAGAACCAGCTAAAATAGCAGGCAGGAATACTCAAAAATGGCCCAATATCTAACTTCACAATTGGGCAAAAACTCAGACCCACGATATAATAGAGATACTACAATAGAGAGACTTTTGCTAGAAGCATAAAGAAAATATGTGGCTTAAAAATAAATAGTGTTACAAAAATAAGGACAGAAAAGCAAACAGGGAGAAATAGACTCTTCTTTTAGTTCTTTAATTTATTAAGGAAAGATACTGGATGGACTTGGCAAACAAAAAAGTATTATGAATTTTGGCACGAATACTTAAGTTCGACAAATAAAAAGGAACACTGAAAGGGTTTACAGAGTTTACAGAACGGACAGAAAGGAAAAAGTTTATATCAGTTTAATACCCCTAAAAGATTGGAAAGGTTATTATCAAACTCTATGAACCGAACAGTCGTCCAAAATTTCTTTCTGAAGATAGTGACCAGACTTTCCAGTTAGAGACGTATTTTAAAGGAGAAAACTCAATAACACCAACTGAGGTAAAGAGAGACCTAATAACAATGAAAAATGGATGAGCTTCTGCACCTACATTGGTCGAGGACCCAAGGTCTTCTCATTGAACTTTTAAAGTATGGACATGATTCGCTACTGCAACTACTTGCGTGTGTATAATTGCTTATTGAGAGGCAAAGAACTGCCACCCAAATGTAGAACAGCCTTCGTATCGAACACCTATAAAAAGGTGACGGAAGAAAATGCTGCAACTACAGAGGTTTAAGTGTAACAAACTTGTTTTAGACTTTTCGGCAAGATTATGAAAGACATAATAGGGAACCAAGTTATGGAAAGGAAGGGAAGAGAAAAGAAGTTTTAAAAAAAGAACAGCCAGAAACTTAAAACCATAAATGATATGAATAGTTCTAAAGAATGCTTATGACAGCATATCCTTTAGAAAGTGGGATAAAGAATATAAGGAATCGAAATTTATATAAAAAGAATGATTTTAGACAAAAATAGAAGAGATCATGTAGTAAGATAGGAAAAACAAAGGTGGGTAACAAAAAGAAAATATTTGAAAATGTGAAAGCTAATGTATATCAAAATTCAAAACTAATTTAGCATATCTTGATTTAGAAACTGCAAGAAGAACAGAAATACTTTGAAATGTGTGTAGGGGAATAAACTACGATGCAACACCAATTTAATGAAGCAACTGCCATACATACTGCTTGTGAATGTGAAAATACCTATTTATTGAAATACAATAGATATACATCAATAAAACATGGACTAAGCCAACAGAAATTCAAAAACCCCAATAATAAAATTGCCGGCTTTTATCAAGAGCACACGACTTCTTGATACTATGAAATACTAGAAATGGGATGTGTATTATCTAACTAAAGAAGAAGAGAATAAAACAGTAGATTATTAACTTTGAGTGAACGTTGTAGAAACGGCAACGCTTAAATACATGACAAGTACGGAAAAAATTAAGAATGAATTTATTGGGGAAAGTGTTAATATGGTTAGTTCACGTTTAAGGCCAAAAGAATAATCACCCAATACGAAAAATCGATAAATTTCAAGTTTCTGAAAGGGCTAGAAAGGAACAAACCAGGAACCAAAACAAAAAAAAAAGAATCCAAATAAGAGACGGTTTATCAAGAGAATTATTACTGGTATGACTCAAATAAAAACTTTTGGACACATGCAATTAGTAAAACCGACGTTGTTTAGAAGCGGTAGAATAAAAATTGTTTTTAAAAAATATATAAGACATTAGGAACAAAGTTAAAACATTGGCTTTTATCTAAACCATTCTGATATAAAAAAAACCAAAAATACGACGTTTTTCGTTCCTAAAAATAATACTAGCAGTTCACCGTTCTTTAGAGGACACCTAAAGCTGTCGGCCCCACTGGGCTAGTGTGCATAGACATTAGCTACTTGAAACAGGGTTAACGATGCAATTTATCGCCGGGACCTGTCCCAAAAATACCGTACAATATTATTATTATTATTATCCAACAAATTGTTTCTGATATTTTAATATGACATAACCAAAGGATTATTTATAGGATTACAAAATATAGATATACTAAAGACACTATATTTTGAAATGTTGTCAATATACTGTTCTTGATATGGAGATATTACTTAGTGGAATTAGCTCAGTATAAAAACGTTTGATATTTGTTTTTGGTAATATTGCAAGGCCAAGGTGAAATTGACATTTAAGGCAGAACATTAACTGGGCTATTAACATTTAAGCACACAAACATCTAATGTGACATTGACATACACTGAACATTGAATATTTTTGCTTAACACAATTGCAGTAACCTAGCTAGCTCTCATCTCCAACCACTTTTTAATCGGTGGACCATTATTTTGTCTTCATTTTATACCATGTGCTTTTATTTTTTATGTTGTAGTTTTAGTTTAATCATTATTTAGTTGTTGTTTTAGTGCAATTTTGCTCGCCAACCGTTTTATAGTTAACAGTTTATAGTCACTTTTAAGATCTGCATTTAGTTTGAGTTTGAGTGCTGTAAGTGAGAGAGTTTTTAGGGACGTGGCATTCCGGCCCAGCAGAAGTCGAATTTGTAAGCTGCTACCCGTCCGCAACAACAGAAAAAAGTTCATTTAGCATGCACATAATATGCAAATCAGACTGTCCATGCAAAATCGACATTGTTCAACCTGATTTCCAAACCCACATTTCTAAAATTTCGTGAAACATTTAAAACCGTTATTTTAACCGCAAGTGTTATATTTTCCTGAACAAATTATTCAAATTGTAACGCTTAGCTATTTACTAAATAAATATTTCATTAAAGAACAAATAGTTTTTTTAAATATTTAAGATATAATACTATTTCAACGTATTGTATTTTTGGTAAAAAATATGGCTTTAAATGAGGTCTTATCTCAAAGATCATAATTTGATTACCAAATTATAAGAGTAGAACTAGATGACAT